GCCATAGTGCCGTCGCTTATTAATCCAGTACAACAGTGGGCTATAGGTGAACGTGGCGACTTTCATCACCTCCACCCACTGCTGGGCTTGCTCTTCCCGCCGCAGGTTCTTCCTCCAGTGCAGAAAGAGAATGCAGCCGCCGGTTACCACAGAACACAGCCCCAGGAATCCAAAGTACAGTGAGACCCACACTAAGGCAGTAAGAAAGACAAAGAGGCAGGCTGGCTGAGAGCTCTAGCTAGGGGCCTCTCCCGACTCAACCCATCGTCAATCACTCCATCCACTTCACTGCTCTCACCTTCCTTCCCTCCCTCCTCATTCACTTGCCTCTTCATTCTCTTATTCAGTCAGAGCTAGATTTCCAGGGAGTTTAAGTGCCACCTTTAGCTCTTTACAGATCAGGAAGGCTGGGTGTAGAGGGGGCAGGGCCTGCCCAGGCTCAGTCAAGCCTCTGCTTCCCAGCCCAGGACCCAGCCGATCCATCAGACTAGGAAGCCTCATGAAGGGCAAGGCCATCAAGGGAGTAAAAGTTCACCAGTTGACAGGGACACAGTGTTCCCTCCCACGCCACCACATGCCTTCACCATTCAGCTGTGATTGTCCTGGGCTATTCACAGTATCTCTTCTGGTTGGGCAGAGCATGATCGCTGCCTCAGTTTTCTAGAGGAGACTGTCTCCTAACTGCTTAGCACTCCTCCACACAGGCAGCCACCATCCTATCCATGCAAAGGATCTTCCCTGAGTGTTTGCCCAAAGGCAAGGGACAGGGATTGGAGGGGCACTTACCGCCAGGGAGGCTCAAGTCCTCCTGCTGGGAATCCATGAAGTTGAGCTTTGGTACCTGGCTGATGTCTCTGGGTAGAGGGAACTCACCCACCCATCTGTTCAGCCAATAGGAGTCCCCAGAATGCCCAGGCCCCATTGTTCCCTAAAGGAGAGGCCACTGGGTTCTGAGCACTAGGCATTCCAGGGGCAGTGCTTGTGGAGTGGTCCTGGGTTCATGGAAGGAAGGGACTCTATTCAGTGGCATCTTGTGGGCATAGTGTACTCTACCACTTCTATCAGAGACTGATCCACCCACTAAATTGTGTGCCCTGCCCCTTATGGTGAACCCACAGAGCAGTCCCTAGGAAAGGGCCCTCATTCCTTCAGGGGCTTATCTATATTGCTGGTCTTTAGGGAACAGTTGATGGATACCTGTCCCCAGGGGGGAGCAGGGCAGGGGACACAGAACGTTGGGCAGCCCTGCACTCAACAAGTCTCTGACCAAGTTGTCAGGAGAAAACCTGCTTAAGGAAACCATCTGGCCAACACCTCCTTCTTTGGCTCCTACAGTCTCTCTTTTGTTTAGTTACTGTCCTTCAACAATGCTGGCTGGTGTTTCCTGGGCGTCAGGCCCTGTGGGGGCTCCCTACCATCTGGCCCCACATGTCTTTCCAGCATCCCCTCCCTCTTCATGCTTCACACACCTTCCCTTTCTGGCCAGGCCAGACTTCTTAATAGACCCTGTTCATTCAGGTCTCTGGAGTTGTGCTCATGCTGCTCCTTCACCGGGGAGCACCCCTCCCCACCTTCCCACCAGTGAACACCTGCTCATCCCGCAGGACTCAACTCAACCCTTACTCTGTGGCAAACAGTCCTTTTGGTTGACTTCCTAGAATCGCATCATCTCCAGTTTCAAGGGACTTTGAGAGCTGTCTAGTCCAACTCTCATCAGATGCTTGAGTCCTGAGATAGATCTTCCCGACCCAGCCACTAATCCCACCAACTCAGGACTCATTTCCGTCAGGAACTTGCTCACCACCTCCTCAGGCAGTTTGGTCCAATTATGGGCAGTTCAGCTAGAAAGCCCTTCCCTAATGAAGCTTACTTAAGTCAGCCTCCCAGTAGGTTGCACCACTGATCCTACTTAGGCTTCTTGGCACTATTTTAATTACTCCCCTCTTAATAATCCTCCAGTGTGTGACTTACGGCACTTTTTCAAACAGAGTTCTCTCCAGGGTCTGCTTACCCTTGGCTCCTACATCACTGGCCCCTGCTTTTCATTCTCCTTTGCTGGTTTCTCCTCTTTACCCTGATCTCGAAATGTTAGCATGCCCTAGGGCTCAATCTTTAGCATTCTATCTACATCCATTCCCTCGGTTATCCAGATCCACGGTTTTAAACATCATACATACACTGACAGTTCACAACTGTATATCTCTTGGAACACTACTCAGAACTTTAGACTCATACGGAACAGCTTGGTTGACATCCCTCCTTGCCAGTCTGTGGAACGATCTCAAACTAACATCTCCAAAACCAAATTCCTGATCGTCCATCCTCCAAAATCTACTCTATCTGTGCGGGGAGCTAGCTACGCTCCCAGCAAAGAATTGAGTCCCTTAGGTAGGGGTCGTCGCAAAGGATAAGAAAATAATAGAAAATGGAGAATAATAGAAATAAAAGAATACACAGAGATGAAGGTATAGTTTTATAGATTTATAAAGATAAAAGGCAAAAGCGGGATACTCAGGGGTCCCTACGATATCCCCGTGAATCATAGGGCCCAGAATAAAGTTTCACATGGACATTTATAGGCAATGAGATTGTTTGCCAGAGGTAACAGATTTACATAACAGGTAGTTCATTTTGGGTTAAAAGTCTTTCAAAAGGCTTCTATAGATCCCTTAACAAACTCTGGTTACAAAATCTTTCAAGGACAAGCTTCTAAGTTCTAAGATAAAGCTATCACTTAACAGAAGGATTAAACAGAGATATAGTGGCTCCATATTTCTTTAAATAGAGACAGGTCATCAGAAGTCAAGCAGGAACTGTCCCTTGGGCTATTTTTAGCCGCAGGTATCTGTCTCTGGGCAGACACTCTTTAATCAGCTCTCATCCCGTGATTCCATGTAGACCTTGGTTTGTCGTTCAAAGCAGGTGAGAACCACGGGGTTGAGACCACAGCAGTCACCTTGGAAAGCAGCTGCTACTGACCTTTTGAAATGCCCTCCTGAGGTAGAGCAGCTTTTGATATGCAAACTAACATGTTAACATATTCCTTCAGGGCAAAGCCCTGCAAAACTCCTGAGACCATTTCTGTCTCTAATATAGTAATATTAATTTATGGAGCGACATATCTGCAACCTTCCTCCTCTTCATAAATACCATCGCTGCCCTTCCAATTGTTCAGGCCAAAACCCTGCAAGTCATCATTGACTCGTTTCATTCTGTCACACCCACATTCACTCCATTAGCAAAATCTTTAGGCTTTTCTTTAAAAATATACCCAAATCTGACCACTTTTCCATCACTATCATTTTAGTCCAAGTACTACCATCTCTCACTTGGATTACTGGTCTCCCTGTAGGGTGACCAACATCCTGGTTTCACCCAGGGTTCTCAGGACATGGGGCTTTCAATGTTAAAACCAAGAAAGTCCTAGGTAACAAATTAGTCACCTATGGGAGAGCTTCCATCCTTATCCCACATACCCTAAATTCCACCAGCAGCCAGAATGATCCTTTTTATAATAAAAGTACATCATGTTACTCCTCTGCTCAAAACCTACAGCGACTTCCCATCTCACTCCAATTTAAAATCTTAGTTCTTAACCAAGGCTTACAAAGCTCTGAGCAATCTAACCCTCCCTATACCTTGTTAGTCTCGGTTCTACTGTTGTGCCCTCATCACTCAGGCACAATAACCTCCTCATCAGGGCCTTTGCACTTGCTGTTCCCCCTACTTGGAAGGCTCTTCCTCCAGATATCCATACAGATCATCCCTCATTACCTCAAGGTCTCTGCTTGGGTGTCCCCTTATCTCTGTCTCTTGTTCTGCTTTTTCCCCCCTGCATAGCATGTAGCATCACCTAATATTATTCATTCATTCATTCATTTATTTATTTTCTATCTCACTCCAGTGGAATGTAAGCTCCATGAATGAATATAAACACAGATCTAAGAATTTCAGATAATGATAACTGCTATGAAGAGAATAAAATAGGGTAATGGGATAAAGACTATAAAGGGATGGGGTGGTTCATCAAGATAGGTTCCTCTGAGGTGCTGACAGGTGAACTGAGCCCTAGATGATGACAAGGAAGCCACAAAAAGATCAGAGCAGAAAGAACAGCAAGTGCAAGGACCCCAAGCCAGGTACCCTTCAAGAACTTACCAATTTTTCGCTACACTGTTCCTGGCCCAGGGCAGGGCCCAGGGCTGATCTCCGTGAGTGCAGGTTGAGTTGAGCAGGGTCGAAGGCTCTATCCCTGCCCCAGCCGGGGTTTCTATCAGGTCAGAGCCAGACCAGAAGGACTTCCATGCAAGGCAGACTGACGAGTGCTGTCGCAGAAATCCTGCTCCAGGCCTGGCCCTGTGTGTGAGCAGGTGGGACACAGAGATGTTGATCACTGCCCCTGACCCCAGGAGCTCACAGCTGATTCAGAGGATCAGGAAGGTGGTGGCATTTGGGTTGAGAGAAAGAGAGCGGAAGGAGAGAGCATTCCAGGGATCAAAAAAAAGCCTGAATAAAGACTTGTCCAAGGACAAATCCTGATGGCTCTGTGGGAGAGGAGAGTAGTTCAGTTTGGCTGGAGTTCAAGGTGGATGACAGCAAGAAGAGGGAGCTGCGGCTTCGAAGGCAGCTGGCATCTTGAAAAGAACTCAGCTCTTAGGTAGAACTTTACTAGACACTTAACGACTCTCAGCCTCCGTTTTCTCACCTGTAAAATGAGGATAATGCCTACCTCACAGGGTATGAAGCCGACAAAATGTCCTGCACATAGTAACCTCAGTAAAAAGAAATTGCTGCTGTGGTTATAGTTAATGAAAAGGGCCTTCGATGCTGAAGGGCAGATTGTGACAGCGAGTGCCAAGTGAATTTAAAAAGAGGACCTGAAGTCCGAGCCGGCTTTAGAGAGGAGACTTGGCACGCAAAGGCTGCCGGTCCCGAGTGGGAGGGCGTGAATCTGGGCAGCCTCCCGGGAGGAGGCGGGCTGCGGCAGACACCCGGTGGCTAGAGCGCGCGGTGCAGGGGCCAGAGCGGCGAGCTCCCACTCCGCCCCGCCTCGCCCCGCCTCGCCCCTCTCCTGCGCCCGGAACCTTGGGTGTGCGGAACCTCGGCGCCGCAGCGCGGGCGCGGAGGACTCGGAGGGGGATGGAGCGGGCGCGCGGGCCGGGGGCCGAGGCTGAGGAGGAGGAAGAGGAGGTGGAGGTGGGGGCAGCCATGGCGGCGGGTGGCGCAGGACCGGCGGTCCTGCAGGTGGCCGGTCTCTACCGGGGCCTGTGCGCGGTGCGCAGCCGCGCCCTGGGCCTGGGGCTCGTGTCACCCGCTCAGCTGCGCGTGTTCCCGGTGCGCCGCGGCTCGGGCGGGCCCGAGGGGGGCACCGACGGCAGCGGGGTCGGGGCAGAGGCCGAGCTCGAGGCCAACCCCTTCTACGACCGCTACCGCGACAAGATCCAGCAGCTGCGCAGGTGCGGGCCTGGCTCCCTGGCGGCGGGCGGGGAGGGGGAGGAGGGGCGGCGCGCGGCCCCAGCTTCTGGGCCTTACGACAGCCCTGTGAGGTGGGCACTAATACTGTCCCCACTCTACAGATGATGTATCTAGGCTCAGAGAGGCTAGGTCACTTGCCTAAGATCACTCAGCTAATTAGCGTCAGAGCTGGGAGTCTCTGCAAAGCCCAGGCTCTTTCCACATTTGTCTGCGTTTGTTCTTTAAGTTCTGGAAACGCTAAGGTGGACTTTTGCCTGTGAGGCAAGCAGTTCAGACAGACCTGTTCTCATTATAAAAATGGAAAAATGCCTTCCAAAGAAGGGACTTGACCTGCTCAAGGTCACATGTTGAGTCAGCTGAGGCCTGGCCCAGAGCTTGGGTTCCAGGCCTCATAGCTTAGGCCCCTGACTGCAAGGAAAGGAGATTGGAGGTGGGAGGAGCGAGTCTAAGACAAATAGTGTCACAGTTGGATGATCAATGGAACCATCCCAGTAAGATGAGGAAACTGAGGATTAGAGAGAGTAAGAGACTTGCCAGAGGTCACACCTGGACCATTGCTATCATCCTCTAACTAGTGTTCCCCACTTCCATTCTTGGACCCCTCTACCCCAGTGTATCTCACTGCTACTATAGTGATCTTTCTCACTTTCTGAAACAATGGTGGAATAAATGAATGAGTATTTTTATTCTCCTTCCAGTAGCATTTAGATATTCTCAAGTATTTGTCATCTTAAAAACCTTTCCTTAATCTACATTCCCGTCCGGCTTTCTGTCTTTGATCCCATTTACACACAAGCATCTCTGAAGAGTTATCTTGCTCATACTCTGAGTACTTGATGAGCTCCCATTCATGAACAGATGAATGACTGGTTTTGCCCTCCTTCTCTGCTCCATCATTCCCATCAACAACGTTTACCCATACTGTTATCTCCTAAAGACTCCAAAGTGCCCCATTGACTGAATAACATCCAAATTCCTTAGTGTTCACACAAGGTCTTCACACCCTAGTCCCTGCTGGTCTCTTTAGCCTTATCTATTACCCAAACTTCTTTGAGCATCATGGTCCAGCACAAAAAAATTAGAATGGGATATTCCAGGTAAGAGGAGCAGCAGCATAAACAAAAGTACAAAGGCATGAAAACACCTCAGCCATTTGGGGATGTTTGAGCAAATTTCATCATAATACCTGTAGCACTTTCATGTACTTATCTCTATGTCTGTCTCTCCCACTAGATATTGAGCTCCCTGACGTACGGACTGTCTTGTTTATTTCTATATCCCCAGAGGCCAGCAAGAGCTCTGCTGCTCAAGCTGCCCCTTGTCCTCTCTACATGCTCACCATGGCAGGCCCAGGTGTGGCTGTGGCCACTAGCAGGGCCATCCCTGTTCCTGGCGTAGGTCCCAGGGCTGCCTGCAGCCCTGGCCATGCAAGCACTATACCTCACTGAACAGGAACCCCTGGTGTGGCTCTTCACTGAGGAGGAACTGGCCCACTATAGAGAGAAGGAAAAAGAGCAGCCCATCTACGTGGCAGTGAAGGGAATGGTGTGTGATGTCACCTCCAGAAAGGAGTTTCATGGAAGAGAAGCCCCCTATAATGCCTTATCCAGGAAGGTCCACAAGAGGGGTAGCCAAGATGTCCCTAGATCCTGTAGACCTCACCCATGATACTTACTATAGGTCTCACGGCCAAGGAGCTGGCGTCCTTAGATGATGTCTTCTCAAAACTGTACAAAGCGAAATATCCCATCATCACCTACACAGCCCGAAGAATTCTTAACAAGGACGGCACCCCAACCTGGACTTCAAGTGTGACGACCAGCTCCGTTTTGAATGTAGGATGAGGTCTGATGTTTCATTGGCAGGAGCAGGTTCTTTGGAGGGTAGGTCAGGGAGACACTCAAATGCTAAATCTTCTGCAAAATAACCTAAAACCTCTGAATCACCAGGATCTACATAAAACAGATATTTCACCTGGGGGGCAAGGGGAGATGTCCAAGAACTTAGGATATATTCAAATAAAAGCTTGATACCTAGTAAGGATGTTACCGGATTCTTACCTGAGGAGGTGATCCAGAAAGATGACTTCAAAGTATTTTCCCATCCTGAGGATTCTAAGTACCCAAAATGTAAGTATCTGAGGGAGCAAGCCCTGTGTCACCCTAGGGAATAGCCTGCAGGAGAAAAATGTTACACAGGCCCCTTGAGGAGTAACAATAGTTGAATAACTGGATTTCTTTTTCTACTTTCTCAATTTCTGAGCTCATGCCCAGTCCTTACTAACTGAAGGGCAAATCCTTCAGCCTCTCTGAATGCCAGTGTCCTTTTTCTGTGGAGGTAGAATGTGATGCTTTGCTATTTCAAAATCCAAAAATGTCCAGGTGGTTTACCTTTTGGTTTACCTTTGGTTAGGTCTGACCCAGCTGCTTTTGAGTCCCGCCTGGAGAAGCGCAGTGAGTTTCGGAAACAGCCTGTGGGGCGCTCCAGGCAAGGCGATTTTATCAAATGTGTGGAGCAGAAGGTAAGACCTGCCCCTTTTTGAGTTGTTGGTTTACCAGCACTCCTCCAACCTCCTTCCCCCAATCCTTGTCCTTGAAGTGGGTTCACTGATGGGTCAGCTGGTGAACTGAACATAGACTCTCAGTCTCTGTCCATAAATGTATATCCTGCTCTTTCTAGGCAAGGTACTTGTGGTCATGGTGGAGATAGAGAGGTATGAGAAGGGTAGGTAGTTCCTGCTCCTAGGAGGTGCAGTCTAATGGTCAAGGCAAGGCACACAGGACAGTGGGCTGTAGGGATCAGGGAAAATTTCCCAGGGGACGTGGAACCTGACCTGGGCTAGGAAGGGTGTGAAGGATTTAAATTAAGCAGAGAGGAGAGACTAGGACTTGATATAGAGCAGGAGTCATCAAACTTTTTCTGTAAAGAACCAAATAGTAAATATTTTAGACTTTGTGGGCCATGTGGTCTCTGTTGCAGCTACTCAACTCTGCTATTATAGTGCAAAAGCTGGCATAGCCAATAAGTAAATGAATGGGTGTGGTTGTGTTGCAATAAAACTTTATTTACAAAAACATGTGGCAGGCTGGATTTAGTTTGCTGACAACCAACCACTCACCCCAACATCACCCCCTCCCCCATGTTGAGGAATTAGCTCAAACAGAAGAAGAGCTTCGAAACTAAAAGGAGTTTCAGGAGACAGTGAGGTACCTTGTCCAGTTAAAATGGAGAGGAATGAGCTGGGTGCGTTGGCTCACACCTGTAATCCTAGCACTTTGGGAGATTAAGTGGGAGGATTGCTTCGGACTAGAAGTGAGACCAGCCTCAGCAAGAGCAAGCCCCATCTCTATAAAAAATAGAAAAATTGGCTGGGTGTGGTAGCACATGGCTATAGTCCTAGCTACTTGGGAAGCTGAGGCAGGAGTTTGAGGTTGCAGTGAGCTATGATGACCCCACTGCACTCTAGCCAGGGTAACAGGGAAAGACCCTGTCTCAAAAAATAAATAGATAAAAAATAAAATAGAGAGGAAAATGTTAAGACTAAAGGTATAGGTTAGGCATTAAACTCTAAACTGAGGCGTTTGGGCTCAATGAGCAGAGGCAAGATAACTTAGCTGCTAAGAGGATGGGCTCTGGAGCCAGGTGCCAAGGACCAAAACCTAGCTCTTCCACTTACTAGCTGGGTGACTCTGGAAAATTATATAACTTCTCCATGCCTCAGTTTGCTTATCTGTAAAACAGGAAATTAATAGTACCTGTCTCATGGAGTTGTGCTGAAGATTGAATGAGATAATACCATGTAAAACTCTTTAGCCCAGTCCCTGGCATATAATATGTACTTAATACATATTAGCCATTATTATCCTTAAATAGAAATCAAAGCTGGGGAAAAGAATATTGAAAGCTGTGTATAGGAAGATTAATCTATTGCAGTGTTTTTTGACCATAACCCACAGTAAGAAAGAAATTTTACATTGCAATTCAGTACACATGTATGTATATGATTGTAACTGAAACATTTTTACAAAACAATGCTTACTTTTATAACATGCAATGCATTCTTATTATTTTTCATCTTTTAAAAAATTTCGATCATAATCCACTAAATTGATTTCACAGCCTATTATTTGAAAAATACTAATCTAGGGTGGTGTTCAGAACAAACTGGAGTGGGAGAGGCCAGAACCAGGAAGAATATGCAGTAATCCAGCTAGTTTCTAGGCCCAGGTAGTTATAAATATTAAAATATTGTAGGTGTTTTCACCTACAAGAATGTCTGGCTAAACACCGAAAAGTTGTGTAGGATGAGGGAAAATTTACTATGTAGAACTCATTTCATTTGGTACCACTCTTCCTCCCATAAATTCAGATATCACTATCCAATAAATTATTGTGACAACAATAAAATTTTCCCCACAGATTTCCAAAGTATCCCTAGGAAGGAAGTTAAGTACCTATTTAAAGTTCTTATTAAATGCTTCTGAGACTTTTTGGTATATAGTTCCAACTATTTTAATTACCTTATTTCAGTAATTCTAAAGCCCACTTTATTTTCATATTTTAACATCTCAAAAATTGTCTTAAAATAGATGTGATAGTAAAGTATTGTGCTGTTGTTTAATTGGCATCATTTTCTGATACATGAAATAATGGTACATCTTGAGATCATTAGTGTCTTTGATTTGATAAAATACAATAAGCCTGTACTTGGGCTTATAGAAATTTTTTATTTCTATAAAAGGAAGAAATACACAGGGCTTGGTGACTAAAAGGTAAGGACACCTGTGCAAATGGGGGATTTTGTTTGTTTTGTTTTCATAATACACCTGAGAGTGAGTGATATGAAAATGAAATTAATTCTCTCCTTTTTAGATTGTTTGCATAAGAAGGAACAGCTATACTAGAATGCTGCCAATGTATAGGGTGTGACCAAAAGGAGTGTATTACAGGTTCTATGAGCATCTTTATGAAAAGTTTGGATTAATAAAGTACAAAGTGACTAAAGTCAAGGTTTTATGCAGAAAGTGTTTTTCAGCCACAGAATCCCAGGTGTAGACTGTACTGTTTGCCTCTGAAAGGTATGGTCTTGAACTTAGAGATTGCATGGAAGACTCAGAGCAGCCCATCCCTACTATCAGAAACAACTCAAAATTGGATTTTCTGGTTGTGGCCTTTGTCAGAGATAATGGGCTAGGAGAAAAAATAATCACTTTCAGTTGTTCTTGGCCTTTTTTGAGGGGGAGTCTAATTTGATAGAGGAAATACTAAGACAATACTAAAAAAGACTCTGGTCTGCTGAGGATGACTGCCATCAAAGTGCTGTCAGAAATAAGAAGCAGCTTTGGATAACACATCTTTCCACTTCTCACCTCCTCTGTGGCTCAGTGTGGAGTAGGTCAGAGGGTAGAGCACAGTAAACCCAAGCAAGCCTAATTCTGGAAGAAGTTCCTCATATCCATAGTGGCAAGTGTAGAATGGACTTTCAATACCAGTAGATGATAGTTACTGACAAAGAAATCTTCTCATCTCTGCATTTCAGAATCTTTTTGTTTTTGCTTTTTTGTTTTTGTTTTGTGGTTGTTGAGATAGAATCTTACTCTGCCACCTTGGGTAGAGTGCAGTGGCATCATTGTAGCTCACTGCAACCTCCAACTCCTGGGCTTTAGTGATCCTTCTGCCTTAGCCTCCCAAGTAGCGGGGACTACAGGCGCCTGCCACCATGGCCAGCTGATTTTTCTATTTTTAGTAGAGATGGGGTCTCACTCTTGCTCAGGCTGGTCTCGAATTCCCTCAAGCAATCCACCCGCCTCAGCCTCCCAGAGTGCCAGGATTACAGGCGTGAGCCACCGTGTCCAGCCATGCATCTTAGAATCTTAGTCAGAGGAAAGTTATCTCAAAAACAGTAATTTTTAGAACAATGTATACAATTATTATAAAGAGTGGAGAGAAGCAAGTTATCAGGTACAAAATTAATTAAGAAGATTGGGCACCTCACCTAGTTTGGTGATCTGTTTCTTATGAGTAAAGTGTAGATTAATATCCTGTCGCATCATGTATTTCAGACAGATGCCTTGGGGAAACAGCCTATGAGCAGAGGATTTACTAAGGACAAGGTAGGTTTCTAATTAAATATAGGGTCCCAGGTTCGAAGTCATATGGAGCATCTATAAAAAGAGACTGCAAATTTGAACATATAAACTAGTTCAGTGATTTTGTGTAAGATGATATTCCAAGTATAGAGATAAGAAATATTTCTGTGAACTTTTGTGTCCTTGACATGACCCCTTGCCTAAGTGTGGGTCCCTTCATTTCTGTAGGAAATAGTTTTAAAAAGTCAAAAACATGTTTAGTCTGTCACTTAATTTACAAATAAGGAGTCACTCCTGGTAGAATAGCAGTTAAATAAAAATAACCAGGCTTTCTCCTCTTACCAGCGCAGAGTGCTGCATGACTCATTGTTGAGGATGAAACGTTTGGGAAGGACATGGTGACCTAATAGATACTCTCCAGGAATAGAACTGTGAAAACCTGCCTGGGCTTGGGCGTTCACTTTATCTGAGCATGCGGGTTTTCTTATACTTGTTCTTTACTTATGACAGATTTGCTTCACTGTCCTGACATGTTTGCTTCCCACAAGCTTAGAGATATAGTTAAGCTGTTTTGTTTTGTTTTTTAATTGTTGGTGTTAATTGCTTTTTATTTTCTATTTCAAGACTCTCAGTTCAATCTTTAACATTGAGATGGTAAAAGAGAAAACTGCAGAAGAAATAAAACAGGTAATGAATGAAAACGGGTTGGCATAGTCCATGAAAATGTGTGTTCTGCGAAACAAATCTGAGAGTAGAAAGGAGCACATATTTTCTGACACCTCTTTCTAGCCATAGTGAAAGGTAGTCATAAAGGCAAAAATGATGAATTACAGGAAGAACAATGGCATAAGAAAACTTGTCTTTCTTGGTCTTACTCTTATATGTCTAATTAACTCATATTTCCCCTTTCTTTTTCATTCCTATTGCCCACATTTTATTTAAAATCATCAGTATTCTGTACCTGGATTACTGTACTGCATTTTTAAAACAGGTTTCCTTGCTCCTGTTGTTCCCATTCCACCTATAATATCCTCACCAGCTGAGTTTTCTTAAAGTTCTTTCATTATGGAGAAGCATGGTATATTGGGTAAGAACACAGACTGTAGAACCAAGCTTCTGGTTTTAAGTCCTAGCTCAGCCATTTATTAGCTGCATGACTTGGACAAGTTAGATAACTTCTCTGGGCCTCAGTTTCCCTACTGTAAAGTGAAGATAATAATATTGTTTACCTCATAGAGTTTGGAGAATTAAATGAGTTAACATTTATAAAGCACTTAGAACAGTGCCTGACACAGAGTAAGTGCTATATTTATGTTTTTAAATAAATGAAAAAAAAAAAAATACTATGTTAGGAACCTGCTCACAAATGTTCCATGACTTCCAGTGTTCCTTTCCTTGCATTCATAGTTCTCCATTATTATAAGACCTCCTGCAGGAAGCTTCCTGGAGACCTTCCTTCCAAGCACTCGTGATCTATCACATGTACCTTGATTTGCATTCCTATTTACATTTTCATGTCTGTGATTCTTTTCTGTGCAATTAGACTATAATAAACTATTTTTTTGGTATTCTTTATAGTTCTATGAATTATATTTTAGGTAAATTAAGAGGATCAAAATAATAATAAAAGCAGCATACTATGTGTCAGATACTATGCCTAGTGCTTCATATGCATTATTTCATTAAATTCTCTTAACCACCGTGTAAAGTAGGTGCTGTTATTCCCAATTTATGATTGAGGAAACTGTAGCTTAAAGAGAATCTACAACTTAGTCAGTGATAGATCTGGGACTGAAACCCGTGTCTATTTGACTCTGTATCGTATTCTCTTACAGGAAATTGTGCCCATTGCCATGGGTTTCCTTTGAATGCTGCATCATTTATTTTAACAGGCATTTAATACCTATTAAGTGTCAGGCTCTATGCCAGACACAGAGATAAAGGGGAACATCCACTACCTTCAAGGAGTTTTAGCCTGGTCAAGGGACAGGCACAAAAACAAATCAGTTCAGTACAAAGTTCTAACTTCAGTTAACAGAGGCTATGCAAAGTCTCAGGGAGCGCTCAGGCTGTGCCTTTGGGAAGAAGTACCAATGGAGCATGGACACCAAGCAAGTCGTTTAGGGGAGAGAGAAGCCAGGCCCAGGAGGCCTGACCATATGACGAGTATCACTTAGACCTGTAGTTTTACATACATATCTATGTTCATTGAAATAATTTTTTAGTAACTAAGGTCAACTATATTAGGAACTATCAGTCTCATAAATTTCAGTGTTGATTCATAAGCTATTATATCTACTAATATCATAAATTAAGTCAGAATAATCAGAATATGCTGTCCTTGAGAAGATAATGTTTTGACATGCAAAAAACAGACAAACAAAAAAGCAAAGCAACCTTAGGCTTCATTAATAGAGTGGTTTGCATAGATCCTAGGAGGTAATAGTTCTTTTATGTTCTGTGTTGGTTAGATAGATCACACTTTAATTAGTAGCTTCAGTGGGGGCCCCACATTTCAACAGGAATGTTAGCAAAGCAGAGCAACTCTGAAGGAGGGTGACCCATTCTTCAACACCAGCTCACTCAGTTGTCACCTTGGTTATGATGCCTTCTCCTACTTCTATGCCTTTGCTAGTGTTATCATTCTCTGCTTAGAATGTGTCTCTTATCTCCTCCTGCCCTACCTGTTCATCTTCACAGCCTACCTGTTTACTCAGCTACCTCCTGATCATTCTTAATGATACAGCTCAAGTGTCCCTTCCTCTGGCACTCTTCCCTAACCTGGGTTAAATGCCTCTTTTAGGAGCTCTGTAGCAGAAACCAGGGCAGTAACTGAATATATATTTCTTATTATGTCACAGTTGTCTGTCATTCAGCCAGCATTTCTGAGTACTTTTTAGGTTGTAAGACATCGGTGACAACACAAACAGACATCCTGCCTGCAGGGCCTTGCAAACCAGTGAGGGAGATGGATCCATGTGCAAATGACCTTATAATGAAGTAGCATATCCTAGGCATCTTTGTAGAGGTGTAATGTACAAAAGCAATTCATAGGAAAACTTCTGACTAAAGTGATCAAGGGAGACTACATGGAAGAAGAGGTATATAGGCTCAGCTTCAGAGGACAGGAAGAATTTGGGGGGTCAGAGATGAGAGGGGCCGGGTGTGGTGGCTCACGCCTGCAATCCTAATACTCTGGGGAGCTGAAGCAGGAGGATTGCTTGAGCTCGGGAGTTAGAGACCAGCCTGAGCAAGAGCAAGACCCCATCTCTACTAAACATAGAAAAATCAGCCAGTCATCGTGGCACACACCTATAGTCCCAGCTACTCGGGAGACTGAGGCAAGAGGTTTGCTTGCGCTCAGGAGTTTGAGGTTGCAGTGAGCTATAATGACACCACTGCACTCTACCCAGGGCAACAGAGCGAGACTCTGTCTCAAAAAAAAAGATGTGGCGAGGAATGCTTTCTAGTCAGAGCCAATAACACGTGAAAAGGCATGGGAGACAATAAAAATAATGACAGTAAAAATTATGAGCACAGAGCATCCATATGATATAATGCTAAGTGATTAAAAAGCAAGACACAATATTGCATATATTTACATCTGTGTATACTATAAAAGAGAAAATAGTAAGACATACTAGAAACAAATGCATCAAGATAACAACAATGATTTTTGTTAGGGTGGTAAGACTGGACTTTTTTTTTCTTTTTCCTATTTTCTGGTTTTGTAATTTCATTATATAAATTTTTATTCCTTAGCTTTTGTTGTTTGCATCATGAAAGTCAACTGTGTCCTTCCTGTTCTTTGGTGCCACTTCTGCTTGGCATATACCATAGTCAGATCCAGCAGACTCCGTCTCTTCCACTTTCTAGAATCAGAATTTTTAAGAGATGCTTATAATGTGGCAATGATACCTAATAAAAGCTAACATTGTTTGTAGTGTTTCCTCTGTGCCAGGCACTGTGCTAAGCACAAACCTGCATTATTTCAGCTAGTCTTTACAACAATCCTATGAGGTTGATTTTATTGCTATTTCTTGATGTTTTTTAGGTAGTTTTGAGTAATTTGCCTAAGGTAACATAGGTAGTAAATGATTGGAGCTGGGATTCGCATCCAGGTTTGCCTAACCCTGAACTCTGAACTCTGAGTGACTGAGTCCTATCTGTCTGAAAAGGACCACAGTTGGCTGGGGACATGCGAGTTTAGGGAGGAAAGAAAGATACAAACAAAAAGAGGTTATCTATCACACACAAGGCACATCTTGAGAATGATATAGTCATAGAATCAGTTTCTTTGACAGTAATTTGTTATTAAGAGTTACAGTTTAATCATCCAGAAGAGTGGATTGTATTAAATCTTTTTTGTAATCATGTACTAGTAATAAAAGTATTACATTGGGTTTTTCCTGCCCTGTTGTCAAATAGCATATTGCTCTGAACAATGAAAGCTGTCACCATTTCTTAGCACAGGTTGAAAAGATTACCCACATGTCATAGACACCCTCTCTTTTTTGTGCAGATTTGGCAGCAGTATTTTGCAGCAAAAGATACAGTCTACGCAGTTATTCCTGTAAGTAGTTTGGAAGGGAAAATGAAAGTGTTACAGCATGAAGGTCAGCTCTCTAACCTTAGCAGGCAGTTGCCTTTACTTTTCCTATGTTTATTGCCTCTTGAGAACTTGCATTTTACAGCTCTGAGAGTTTTTATTATGCCCTGAGCACCAAAGGTTGGAAGCTCCATATGGTATATTTATGGCTCTTGTTTTCCCTCTTTCTGGTTTAGAAATGTCTTTGAGTCAAGTCTCTGACAAGGGAGCGTGGTATAAGATCATGTCGCTGAGTAATTTCCAGATGTCTTTTATTTCTTTTTGGTGTTTTCCAGCCAAGCTGTTGGAATTTAAGACAGGGCCTCTAACATAGTTTTTTTCCCTTCTTGTTAGTGACCTATACTGAGCTGACTTGAATTCTCTCCTAGTCTTTCTCTGGCATTTCCCCTTACCAAGTAGCATTGTCTTGATTTTTCCCTCTTTGAAATTGCTGTCTTGGAGATGGTCACCAGCCACTGCTTGACCTTTAAGATCTGTGATGGAGAAGGGATGCTGCTGGCTTCTCGGTCTTTTTGCTGATTTCCAACCATAATAAAGTATTTGAAGTACTGGGTTATCAGCTTGAAGAAGTGGCTTAGGTTAAGTTTATATAAAGCACACAAATAATATTGAATTTATGTGAATAAGTATAAGATTAAGGAGGAAAACATAGATGGAAGGATAAAGCCAAGCCTTTTGGTTGTGAGGGTATCACTATATATGTGTGTGTGTGTGTGTATTTTTATAACGTCTTAAACATATACACCTTTACCCTTCGTGAGTTCAATAACCAAGGGTCTGCATTTTTCATCATGTTTTAGATCTCTGATACTGACTCATTGTTTGAACAGACCCTCTCAGCTCTGCATCTGACTGACTTAGTGACCTAACATCTCTACCACTTGTCAGAGGTCCCTGGATAGTTTGGAGCATTGAAGCATCTACTCTTCGCATGTAATTCTGACAGTGAACAGCAAAACATATGTCTGGTTTTTCTAGTCTTTCTGTCATAAGAGTGATTTGGAAATGATGGAATTGAAAAGATTGTTTTTAGTTGTATTATAGTTCTAGAATTCAGGCTTGGGGAATTTAAATGTGATTGTGGCGTTTTGTGTTTTCCCGTTTGTGAGTTAATTTTATTCTTTTTGGACTTACAGGAAGAGAAGTTTGATTTGATCTGGAACCGGGCTCAGTCCTGTCCAACAGTAAGTATCTGGTGACCATGTAAGGATTGCTTATGAATGCTGCAAAGCAAGGATGTTTTCCCGCTAATCTCATCGTATTCCATACTCTCTCACATGTTATGATGCTCTGTTTAACAAAGATGCTCACATGTTGATTGTACTGATAAGTGAGATGTTCAGCCTTATGAAATTGTGTGGGTTTGGCCCAATAAGCCTCTGGCTTTTTAGCTCTCTATCGCATCTCAGCCCTTTCTAATGTGGATCTTAAGCTGTCAGTATAAGTGCATTTTAGAAGGTACCTGAGACTTTAATATTTTCAACATCTTTTTTTTTCTTGTCTTTATTATTATTTTTAATTAACACATGATAATTGTATATATTTATGGGGTACAGTGTGATATTTCAATACACATATATAATGTGTAGTGATCAAATCAGGGTAATTAGCATATCCATTACCTCAAACATTTATCATTTCTTTGTGTTGGGAGCATTCAAAATCCACTCTTCTAGCTATTTGAAAATATACAATAAATTGTTTTCAATTATAGTCACCCTATAGTGCTATAGAACACTAGAATTTATTCTTCCTATCGAGCTGTACATCTGTATCCATTAACCAACATTTGGCTGTCCTCCATCCCCCCTCCTCTTCCCTGCTAGTGGCCACTACTCTACTTTCTACTTCTATGAGATCAACTTTCTTAGCCTCTCCATATGAGTGAGAGAACATGTGGTGTTTATCATTCTGAGCCTGGCTTATTTCATTAAACATGATGTTCTCCATGCTCATCCATGTTGCCACAAAAGAAAGAATTTCATTCTTTTTTGTGGCTAAATAATATTCCATTGTGTATGTATACCACATTTACTTTATCTGTTCATCCATTGATGGATACTTAGGTTGATTCCATAGCTTGGCTATTGTGAATAGTGCTGCTTTAAAGATGGGCATGCAGATCTCTCTTTAACATACTGATTTCCTTTCCTGTGGATATGTATCTAGTAGTGGGGTTGCTGGATCATGGTAGTTCTATTTTTAGTTTTTTGAGGAAACTTCGTACTGTTTTCCATAATGGCTATACTAATTTACATTCCCACTAACAACAGTGTATAAGAGTTCCCCTTTCTCTGCATCCTTACTAGCATTTGTTATTTTTTGTCTTTGTGATAATAGCTATTCTAACTGGGGTGGGATGCTTGCTTTATTGCCAGTTTTCTTTGCAGTTTTAGCTATGCTAGCCTACTAATATGTACCTAAAAGGAATTATGAAGTTGTTGCTGGAGTAATGAGCTGCCAGAAGGCCTAAAGGAGAGGAATTAGGTGGGCTGGACAGCTAACTTGGTGTCAGTAATGATTTCTAGGGTTTTTAAAAATTTTCCAAACATTGCTGAAAATAAAGAATACCTAAGTAAATGAAGAGATATATATATACCATGTTCATGGATTGGATCACTCAATATTGTTAAAATGTCAGTTCTCCCTAAATTGGGAGAACTCTCTAGATTAGATACAATACCATTCAAAATTTCAATAGGCCTTTTTTCCCATAGAAGTTGGCAAGCTGGTTTTAAAAGTTTATTTGGATACTCAAAGGACCTAAAATAGCTAAAACAATTTTGGAAAAAAAACAACAAAGTTATAGGACTTAAATTTCCTGATTTCAAGACTTTTAAAGACATAGTAATGAAAACAGTATGATATTGCCGTAAAGACAGACATATAGATCAATAGAACAGAATAGAGAGTCCAGGAACAGACCAACATGTATGTGGTCAGCTGTTTTTCAACAAAGGTGCCAAGAAATTAAATAGGAAAGGATAATCTCTTCAAGAAATGCTGCTAAAACAACTGAATATCATATGCAAAAAAAGAACCTCTAACCTCACTGTATACAAAAATTAACTCAAAATAGATCATAGACATAAATGTAATTTCTAGAAGAAAATAAAAGAGAAAATCTCAGTGATCTGGGGTTTGGCAAAGATTTCTTAAATACATCACAAAAACACACACTATAAAAGAAAAAAATCAATAAATTAGATTTCATCAAAATTTAAACATTCTGTTTGTATACCCATGTTCATAGTAGCATTAGTCACAATAGCCAAAAGGCAGAAATAACCCAAGTTATATCAAAAACTCTTATAACTCAATAATAAGAGGACAGACAACCCAATTTAAAAATGGACAAAAGGCTGGGTGTGGTGGCTTACACCTATAATCCTAGCACTTTAGGAGGCTTAGGCAGGAGGATCATTTGAGCCCAGGAATTTGAGGCCAGCCCGAGCAACATATTGAGACCCTGTCTCTACAGAAAAATAGAAAAATTAGCCAGATGTGGTGGCACATGTCTGTAAGCCCAGCTACTTGGGATGCTGAGGCAGGAGGATCACTTGAGCCCAGGGTTTGAGGTTGCAGTGAGCTATGATGACATTACTGCTCTCTAGCCTGCACAATTGAGTGAGACCCTGTCTCCAAAAAAAGGGACAGAAGATTTGAAAAGTTTGCCAAAGAAGTAGAGTGGCAGATAAGCACTTGAAAAGATGCTTGATATCATTAGTCATATTGGAATGCAAATTAAAACCACAGTGAGATACCCCTAGAATGGCTAAAATTTAAAAAACTGATCATACTAAGTGTTGGTGAGGATGTGCAGCAACTGGAACTCCCCTGTACTGCTGGCGATAATATAAAATGGGATAAGCACTTTAGAAACAATTTTGTGGTTTCTTTAAAAGTTAAGCGTAGGCCAGGGGTGGTGGCTCAGGCCTGGAATCCTAGCACTCTGCGAGGCTGAGGCAGAAGGATTGCTTGAGCTCAAGAGTTCAAGACCAGCCTGAAAAAGAGCAAGACCCCACCTCTACTAAAAATAGAAAAACTAGCTGACTTAGTGGTGTGTACCTGTAGTCCCAGCTACTTGGAAGGCTGAGGCAGGAGGATCACTTGAGCACAGGGTTTGAAGTTGCAGTGAGCTATAATGATGCCACTGCACTCTAGCTAGGGCAACAGAGTGAAATTTTGTCTCAAAATAAATAAATAAATAAATAAATAAGTTAAGCATATACCTGCCATACTAACCAGCTATTCCATTCCTAGATATTTTCCCAAGAGAACCAAAAGCATTATGTCCATACAATGACTTGTGCACAAATGTTTAAGCAGCTTTATTTGTAATAACCAAATACTGGAAACAATCTAATTGTCTATCACAGGTGCATAGAAATTGTGGAAAAAGAGCATGTGTGTGGTGTGTACATTTGTGTACATAATAGAGTAATATTCAGCAATAAAAAGGAATGCATTATTGATACATGCAACAACATGGATGGATCACAGATTATGCTGAGTGAAAGAAACCAAACCAAAGAAAGTACATATTCTGTGGTTCCATTTATATAAAATTTTATAAAATACAAACTGACCTATAGAGACAAAAAGCAAATCAGTGGTTACTTATGAACAGTTGGGGACAGGAAAGTATAGATTATAAATGGGCACAAGAAATCTTTTGGAGATTATACATATGTTTGTTATGTTAATTGTAGTTGTGGTTTTACAGTATACATATGTAAAACTCATCAAATTGTACACTTTAAATATGTGCAATTTATCGAAGTTCCCAAAACTCTAAAAAAAAATTTTCCCTAGCAAGGAGTCAGCTATCAGGTAGGCAGTGAGTTTATGTCACCTAATAATAATAAATTGGAACCTGAGTGGTTGGCAATAAGAAGACAATTCTGTGACTTGTGTGTATTAAACTGATTATACTCTCTTTTGTTCTGGCACCATTCTCTTCTCCACTACTTGTCCCCAATTCTAAACATCTTGAGCATAAAACTGATCGTTTCTTGGTGTTTGGTCTAGAGCCATGCTCCAATTTAAGCCTCAGCTGATAGAATATGAAGTAATTATAGCAAATGGAAAAAAATGTTATTTTAGTAGCATCAAAAAGTTTAGAAATTGGGAAAGACCCAAACATTCATCAAGAGAAGAATAAATAAATCCAATTGTGATAAGTTTCTACAGTAGAATTTCATACAACAGTGAAAATTTCATAAATGAGAGTTGTATTTATCAACATGGATAAATGTCAAAAGCATAATGTGAAATAAAAAAGCAAGTTATAACAGGGTACATACACTTGGATAAGATTTAAGTTTTTAAACATGCAAACTGTTTCTTGTTTATGGATATACACATACATATTAAAAGTATAAAAATATAAAAGGGAATGACAATCACCAAATGCAGGATAAGCCAGGCGTGGTAGCTCACACCTGTAATAATTCCATCATTCTGAGAGGTCGAAGCAGAAGGATTGTTTGAGGCTGGGAGTTCAAGACTCCATCTCCACAAAAATATTTTTTAAAAAATTAGCCTGGCATGGTGGCACATGCCTGTAGTCCCACAGGATAGATGTTAACTCTAGGATGGGACTGGAATGGAGTATACAGGGAGCCTCTGTTGTATCTCTAATGCTTTCTTAGGTGGATTGAGAAGTACATGAGTGTTTATTATATTACCACATATGAATTTCATAATTTATTTATTTTTATTTATTTTTTTTAGAGACAGGGTCTCACTCTGTTGCTCAGGCTGCAGGACAGTGGTGCAATCATAGCTCACTGCAGCCTTGAACTCCTGAGTTCAAGCAGTCCTCCTGCCTCAGCCTCCTGAGTACCTGGGACCACAGGTGCACAGCGCTGCACTTGGCTAATTTTTTTTTGTTTTTTATAAAGACAGAGTCTTACTATGTTCTGGTCTTGAACTCCTGGCCTCAAGTGATCCTCCTGTCTCTGCCTCCCAAAGTTCTGGGATTGCAGGTGTGAGCCACCATGCCTAAAAATTAAATTTCATAATTAAAAAAAATTTGGCTGGGCGTGGTGGCTCACGCCTGTAATCCTAGCACTCTGGGAGGCCGAGGTGGGTGGATCGTTTGAGCTCAGGAGTTTGAAACCAGCCTGAGCAAGAGCGAGACCCCATCTCTACTAAAAATAGAAAGAAATTAATTGGACAACTAAAAATGCATAGACAAAATTAGCCGGGCATGGTGGCACATGCCTGTAGTCCCAGCTACTCGGGAGGCTGAGGCAGAAGGATCACTTGAGCCCATGAGTTTGAGGTTGCTGTGAGCTAGGCTAACGCCATGGCACTCACTCTAGCCAGGGCAACAGAGTGAGACTCTGTTAAAAAAAAAAAAAAAAAAAAATTTTTTAAACCAAATATTGAAGAAATTGAATGAATGATACAGGTAGTTGGATATAGAGCAAATGATTTCATTTATTCATCTATCTCCTTGTATATCTGTTTCCCGTAGTTTCTGTGTGCTCTGCCAAGAAGGGAAGGTTATGAGTTCTTTGTAGGACAATGGACAGGTACTGAGCTCCACTTCACTGCACTTATAAATATTCAGGTAAGTGGCTTGTGCTCTTCCTCTAGAGGAAAAAGGCCTACCCTTTAATAGGACTAGGAGCCCTTGCTGAGGCTCAGGGGCACAGAATATCTACTGACTCCCAGCATTATTTGCTATAGCACTGATGAATCGTCATACTTTGCATGTTGGGCTAGTTTTCTAGCCCCACTCAATACCTAGAAATTGGAAAAGACTCCAAAACACTTTCTCTGACTACTCCTGGCTCTCTTCTGTCTCTTCCCCTGACCTCTATCCCATTCACTGCATGTGCCTCACTTAACAAACATGGCTTAACAACATGAAGTTATGATGGTTATATTTTTAACTCAAGCTATATAAGCCCCTTGAGGAAGGCTCCATGTCTTATCTGTGTTTTCTTAACCAAGTCAGCACTTTCCAACATGCTACGTGAATAGTTTCCATTTAATAAATTATTTTGTTTGCTTTCTTCCTTCTTTCTTTTTATTTTATTCCCAAATATTAGATTTACAAGTTAGATTCAAAGTATTTGAAGCTTTTAAAATAAAAGTTCGTATTTTAAATCAAATCATAACTAGGATTGGCATTCTCTATTTAGAGGCCAAATCTGACAAAAATAAGCATCTATTATATTGGCTTTGAATTTAGGGTACAAGAGGGTACAAAATAGAATGAGGGAGCGGCTTTTCACTTTGTCATTTTGTAATTCATCCAACAATCATTTATTGTGTACATACTATAGTAACCAACATTTGACATACTTATTAATATTATATGCCAGATGTTTTATATACATTGTGTCATTTAATCCTCACACATTTGCCATGAGATAGTTACTGTTATTATTTTCTATTTAATCCTTGTACATATGCCATGAAATAGTTACTGTTATTATTTTCTATTTCTGTTCACTACTAGTAAGTGATAGGGCCCCATTTGAGTCCAGGTTATCTGACTCCAACATCTATGAACTTAATCATTATGCCATTGTCTTGGGAACTGTGTTAAGGGCTCCGTGGAGATCTATGAGACCAGGTCCCTGCCCTGCTGAAACTTATACCCAAATATTGGAGAAAGATCCAGAAATGTAATTATAATCAAAATGATTGTAAAATTGTAAAATATAAGAATTATGATCAAAACAATCAGTATAATATTAGAAGTATGTTCAATAGTTCAATAGGCTGAAGTATTAAGAATACACGAGTAATAGTTAGGTATTGATAATTAAAATGACTCTTGCTGAAATGTTAAAGATGAAGCCCAGAGATCTTTTTTTGAATGTATCTGTTTCCTTCTACACTATATAAGGGCTTTAGCTTTGAACCCATACTCTCTTCCTAATCTAAACTTGAAGTCTAGTAGTCACTGCCCTGACCATTCTTCATAAAATTATGATGTTTCAGTCCTTCTTCTCCCCATCACCCCCCACCCAGTTTATGTTTTAAAGCTACGTATTACAAATCTAGCCCATGTGCAAACTCTTCATCTCTTGCTACAGCTTAAAAGAGCTCAGTCTTCAGAGCCAGCCAAAGGGAGTAGATTTCAGCTGTGAAATGTGCTAGTCCATAAAAGTGGCAATTATGTAGGCACATTGCTTTCTTTAGAACTTGATTTGGTAGCTGCTTGTGCCATTTTGTTTTTAAATGTATGGCCACAATGAAGGATTCACTGCCTACTGTAAACATTTTCTGGGAAAAAAGCCAAACCTTTTCCAGCTAAAGACACAAATAACACTGTGCAAACTGTCAGTTTCACTGTGCCTTTGCAGGCCTGACCTTGCCCCCCCCATGCCAGTCCTCCAACTCATTAGCCACCCAAGGGGCTCTTAAGAGCCAGAATTTCCTCCAGACTCTCTATTGCTTTGAAATTGTAGTTCGTTGTGATGGTACCTTATTGAACCTTGATAAGTGGTCCTCCTTGCAGACCCGAGGGGAAGCTGCAGCCAGCCAGCTGATTTTATATCACTACCCTGAACTTAAGGAAGAAAAGGGCATAGTGCTGATGACAGCAGAAATGGATTCCACATTTCTGGTAAGAATTAACTTTACCTAGTGGCCTTGAAGGTATTACTCCTCTGCCAAATGTTATGAGAGGTAAAATTCCAGAGAGCTACATGTACCTTGTTTCTTACTTACTTTAAAGTTGACAATAATTTTGTCTTGTTCAAGCTCTTTCAAGTTGAATTTAATACAGATCCTCAGTCATTTATTCACAATTCTGAAATCCACAGGCTCTAAAAATAAAGTTTTTTCATAATCATTTTGTCACAAAACTTCACCCGTAGCTGAGCATGGCGGCTTAGGCTTGTAATCCCAGCACTTTGGGAGGCCAAGGCAGAGGGATCACTTTTGGCTAGGAGTTCAGGACAGCCTGAGCAATATAGTGAGACCCCCATCTCAAAAAACAAACAAACAAACAAAAACCTTACCTAAATTTGGACTCATTTGGTAACTCAATCTTCACGTAAATTGATATGAAGACATTTATAGTCCTTATTAATCCCACTTGGTGTGGAATAGTATGCATTTTACTAGGGAAATATTAATGTGTTTAATTATGAAGAGTTGTATAATATTCAGTTGTACAGTATCTGCACCTATTACTTTTCAAAAATTCAGTAATTCTGAATCTAAGACACATCAGGCCCAAAGGGTTTTGGGTAAGAGAATGTGGACAAGTAAATGACTTCTAAATTGTGGAGAAGAGTTCAAAGTCTTAAGATAGTTCTCAATCTTTTATCTTCTTCCATACTGTTCATATGTACGACATTGATCAAACATAGAGGTTGAAAGGGTGTGAAATTCATACACGGGGGGAAAAATAATTCTCACACAGTGATAAGGGTAACAGAAGTACCAAGTCTGTGTATTTTCCCAAGGAAGGAAGAGAGAAAGAGAGAGAGAAGGAGGGAATGGCCACAGCACACAGAAAAAAGAAGGAAGTGCCTGGCAGCTGAGGGAAAGTTGCTTAGAGTTTTAAAGGATAAAAATGGCTTCTTTTCTCTGCTTTAGTAGACCGATAACAGAAGTGGTGGTGAGGCCGGGCGCGGTGGCTCACGCCTGTAATCCTAGCTCTCTGGGAGGCTGAGGCGGGCGGATTGTTTGAGCTCAGGAGTTCAAAACCAGCCTGAGCAAGAGCGAGACCCCGTCTCTACTAAAAATAGAAAGAAATTAATTGGACAACTAAAAATATATATAAAAAATTAGCCGGGCATGGTGGCGCATGCCTGCAGTCCCAGCTACGCGGGAGGCTGAGACAGAAGGATCGCTTGAGCCCAGGAGTTTGAGGTTGCTGTGAGCTAGGCTGACGCCACGGCACTCTAGCCAGGGCAACACAGTGAGACTCTGTCTCAAAAAAAAAAAAAAAAAGAAGTGGTGATGAAGTTGTTTCAAATGTTCTTTATTTTCTCTCTGTGAGGCTGATTTTATCTGAGTCCTTGGAATCTGGTGCGGGCAAGAACTGAAGTGGGAAGTTTGCACCCCTCCTATCTGCTTAGGACTCTTCAAGGCTATGAAAATGAAACTCTTAGAGATAACTAGTTAGGCTAGAGGTGTTTAATTAAACAAAGGGTAGTTGTGTTGTGAGTTTTCTCTTCAAAGGGGCAATTATGTGCTGTGAGTTTATTTCTCTTACTTTCTGTTAGATAGGTTATTTTCCTCTGTTAGGTTATTAGTAAGGCCACCTTTCAGTGGTTTCTTTTCCTCCTTTTCCCATTCCCAGATGAGAATCACTGGGATAAAGCATGGACCATAATGCCCATAGCTAATGATGTCTGTTGTGTTCTCTGTGCACACCTAGGTGCCAGGAGCAATTTATGATTACTACACAACCTGTTTATCTGCTCCTTACTCATTTCAGTCTCATTTATCTGGCAACAGTTAAGTTCAGATTGCCCTCAAAATAGTGGAATAGAACCTCTTCCCCCTAAGATCTTAAATTATAACACCCACTTATTTTTTTTCCTCTCTCTCTTACCAGCTGCTTAGGGGGAAGGAAGAAGTGATGTCATTCAGCTAGTATCTCCAGTAGCAGTAGGCCCCAAGCCTAGGACACAGTGGGGACTCTTCTTCCCTATCTATTGTTCTTGAAACTATGCAATCCCATTTCTCCCATTCTTCCTGCCACTTAAACCCTTCCATTCACCACATTCAACTGGAAGTTACCCAACATTCTATGCAAAAAAATGGAGTTGCCATTAACTGAGATAGGCAAGATTGAAGGAGGAATAGATTTGGGAGGAAAATCAGGAGCTCACTTTTGGATATGTTAATTCTGAGATGCCTGTTATATATCCAAGTAGTAGGCAGTTAGATATAGCCTGGAGTTCAGGGGAGAGGTCCAAACTGGAGATATAAATATAGGTATTGTCAGCACACAGAGTGTATTTTAAACCAAGGGACTAAATGAAGTCACCAAGGCAGTGAGTAAAGAGGGAGAAGAGGTCTGAGAACTGAACCCTAGAGAGATGAAACAATATCAATAAAGAAGATTAAGAAGGAATGGTCATGAGGTAGGAGGAAAATTAAGATGGTAGAATGCCCTGGACGCTAAGATAAAGTGTTTCAAGGAATAGGAACTGCCCAACTGGCCAAATCTCACTTGCTTGTAGGGAAAATGAGATGCTAACTGGAAATTTACTAGATTTTGCAAACATGGAAGTCACTGGGGACCTTTATAAGAGCAATTTCAAAGATGTGGTTCAGTAAAAGTGTGATTGGAGTAGATTTAAGACAAAATGAGAAGAGAAATTAAGAAGAACAAGCATAGAAACTCAAGAAACATTTCTGTAAGAGGAAGAAAGAATGGGGCACTAGCTGAAGAGGGAGAAGTGGGACCAAGGGTATCTTTTGTTTTGAATATGAAAGAAGTAACATCATATTTGTATGCTGATGTAAAGATCCAGTAGAGATGAAAATATTGATAATACAGGAGAAAGAGGGAGGAAGTGGCAAGTCTGGGAATGAGGGGTTGATCTTTGCCAGGAGTACAATAACAGGGGAGAAGCATAGTATAAGGACACAGATACAGTTAAATAGATAGAGGTACTGATAGGTTGTGGAAGTTCTCTCCAGATTGCTTAGTGAAAAGAAAGAAAAGTTATTAGCTGAAAGAAAGAATAGGAAGATGTTGGACATTTGAGTCGAAAAGAGGAAGTATGAAATTGTTGTCTAGGAAAAGGTCAGCAAACTATAGCCTGTGGGCCAAATCCAACCCACTGCCTGTTTTTATAAGGCCTATGAGTTAAGAATGTTTTCTACATGTTTAAGTGGTTGGGCAGGGGTACAGGGAGGAAGCTGAAAGAAAAATAGTATTTCATGACATGCGAAAAGTATATGAAATTCAAATTTCAGTGTCTATAAGTAAAGTTTTATTGGAACACAGCCATGCTTATTTACCTACATATTATTTATGGCTGCTTTTGCTCTGCAACAGAAAGCTGAGTAGTTACAACAGAGACTGTGTGGCCCACAGAGCCTAAAATGTTTACTGTCTGTTCCTTTATAGAAACTGCATGCCAACCCATGGTCTAGGGGAATGGAAGAGAGAATGGGTGTGCAGGTACAAGCACAGAGAGAGGAGGCTGAGAGCTGGATTTAACTAGGGTTATGTTTAGCCAAGTCGTGTAGTGAAGTAATTGAGAGGCCAGGAAGGTGAATTCAAAAGAATGATTAACTGACCATAGAGTGGAAGCTGCGTAAATAGGAAAGTGAAAATATGAGGGAGGTTAGAGACAATAAGAATTGAGAGTCCTAGTGAAGTTGAGGTTGAAGGCTTGTTGGAGTTGGGGGTAAGCTAGAATGATAGAAAATAATAAATGAAATGTAGATGCTTCAAATTGAAATTTGGAGGAGATATAGTTGCTGATAATTACAAAGTTTGATTTGACCACAAGAATGAGTAACAATATAGAGATTGTACTGTATTTTGTGGTCTTTAGCAAAGCACAGCATCTAACTATATTAAAAGTGGATCCTAGGCTGAGCGTGGTGGCTCACGCCTGTAATCCCAGCACTCTGGGAGGCCAAGGCGGGAGGATTGCTCGAGGTCAGGAGTTCGAGACCAGCCTGAACAAGAGCGAGACCCCATCTCTACTAAAATTAGAAAGAAATTAATCGGACAACTAAAAATATATAGAAAAAATTAGCCAGGCATGGTGTCGCATGCCTATAGTCCCAGCTACTCGGGAGGCCAAGGCAGTAGGATCGCTTGAGCCCAGGAGTTTGAGGTTGCTGTGAGCTAGGCTGATGCCACAGCACTCTTGCCTGGGCAACAGAGTGAGACTCTATCTCCAAAAAAAAAAAAGTGGATCTTAGAGGTCAGAAGAGTCCCATTCCAGTTTTTTGCCATTTTTGCCACCTCATTCTGGTGGTTTCAAACTGCTGCACAGTTATCATCATCATTAAAATTTGCTTCCTGGCCTTATAACATTTGACAGCATACCAGACAACATACATGTGCCTCACATAAATCAGCTTGACTGTGAGGGTCCAACTAGAACAAGTGTAAAACTAGACATGTTAGAATTTATTATAGAAGTATATGATTTAGAGAAGAAAAACCTAAAAATGTAGTATAAACGTGTGATCCCCTGCATACTCATGCATGAAACGTGCTCTTTAGGCATAGTATTTAAACAACTATGTTATAGCATTAACCTCAAAAGGATAGAAATATGTGGAAACTAGAGGTTTCTTCTGAACTAACTTTATTGCTGAAAAGTTAGTAGAATATTCAAAAACATAGCTTTGTTTGGCTCCGCATCTGTGTCAATAGATGATTTTATGGAAATGCAGTAACTACTAGGATGGAGACATGCAGAGGGTTCTGGGGGATGGGTGGTGTCCCTGGCCCACAGGGAGTAAGAAGGCTTCTTGGAGATGATACCTGGGCTGAACCTTCAAAGACCAGCAGGAGTTTAGCCAGATAAAGGAAGGGGGGCAGGGTGGAGGAAACGTCCCAGACAGAGGGAATAGCATTAAGTAAATGCTAACAGGCATAAAATGACTTGGGGTATTGCAAACAGTTTGATATCACCGGTATATAAAAAAAAAGGAGGTTTGGTGGGTTGTGTCTAGAGGTTTGGCTTTATACTGAGGGCATGAAAGAGTCATTAAAAGGTTTGAACAAGGAGTAACCCATAAACAGTTGAGTTTTAAGACCATTAATCTTAATTATTTGCTTCCTAAACATTGTGTAGTTCAAATCTGGTCAGTGTGATCATTTAGAAAATAGTTGCAATAGTCTGGGCAAGAGGTGGTAAAGACCTGAACTGGAGTAGTGGTAATAGAGATGGAGGAGAGGGAATGACTGCAGAAAAATGTAGGGATAAAATGGGCAGGACCCGGTTATTGACTGTAGATGTGAAGATTGAGAGGGAGAAGTCACATTTGTTAAAATACCTCTTTATTGAGCAACACAGGATGTTAGTATGTTTATCTTCTTGGGTCTTGGAAAGGGAGGAGATGACTGTTTCATGTTAAGAGTCAAGAGAACAAAAGGCCAGGAGGAGAGGAGGCCTTTCTATAACCCTCCATGAGAGACAGACAAACACACATCTCTCCCATCTCTCTCTGTGTCTTATGCCCTACCCACTATACTAGTGGTCTTCAAACTTCTTTTTAAAGTGGTAGGAAGAACTCTTTATCCAAACAAAATCTTATTAAGTAGAATCCCATGGTATACAGCTAAAACAAAGGTGAAGAGACCTAAGGCACTTCCACAGAGCCCCTAGGACTCTGCAGAATAGTTTGAACAGCACTGTTCTGGAATGCACACAGCTCAACTTACCTCTCAAGCTTCGAATAAAAGTTGATGTCAGAGGCCCTACAGCTCAGGAGCTAAGAAAGTGGTGGTATCCTCCACAGATTATGGCAGTGCACTTCCTTTAGAAATGGTTTGCTCTTGACCGGGCACGGTGACTCAGGCCTATAATCCTAGCGCTCTGGGAGGCCGAGGCAGGAGGATCACTTGAGGTTAGGAGTTCAAGAAATGGTTTGCTCTTGAGGCATGTGTGAATTTAAGAAAAATAAAATTGGTGAAGTAGAGTTATCAATGTTGATCAATCTTAATTCTCTTACCCCTCCAGAAACAGTAGCAGGGTGAAGTAGAGGGAGTACCAGCTTGAGATTCTAGAGGTCTGGTCCTGGCTCTGACCTTGGGCCTGTCCTTGCATCTCATCTGCCTTGGTTTCTTGGCCTATTAAATGAGACTAGGTGATCTCTGCGGCCCCTTCCAGCTCTAAAATTCTATTAATTTGAAGTAGCTAGCTTTTTGGGAAAAGGCTTTTGATTGGAGATGCAGTCTCAGATTAGTGCCTGCTTGTGAGCAATGACCTGGAAAGTCCCATGGAAGGAATAGAGGTGAAGCACAGCCTATGGTATTTGTAAACCCATCTTCATCACTCTGCAGCTAGATATAGCATACTTTTTTTTTTTTTTTCTTTTTTTGAGACAGAGTCTCACTCTTTTGCCCGGGCTAGAGTGAGTGCCATGGCGTCAGCCTAGCTCACAGCAACCTCAAACTCCTGGGCTCAAGCGATCCTCCTGCCTCAGCCTCCCGAGTAGCTGGGACTACAGGCATGTGCCACCATGCCCGGCTAATTTTTTCTATATATATTTTTAGTTGTCCGATTAATTTCTTTCTATTTTTAGTAGAGACGGGGTCTCGCTCTTGCTCAGGCTGGTCTCGAACTCCTGAGCTCAAACAATCCGCCCGCCTCAGCCTCCCAGAGTGGTAGGATTACAGGCGTGAGCCACCGCGCCCGGCCGATGTAGCATACTTTTGACAGTCAGTTTTTAGTGGGAATTCTCCATTACCTTTTGGAATTGGATTTTGGACGTATGAACATGGTGATAATGGATAAGTGCCTCTGACCAACTAGAGTCGTAGAATGTGTATAAAGCAAAAGTAAAAGTTGTTTCAGGTAATTCTTTGGTAAGGTTTTGAGAACGTAGCCTATGTCCTAATACCCCACCTTCCACCTTTGTCACATAGGGTGGTCTGCTCACCATTTCCCTGTTACTGGGCTTTAGAGAATGTGGCCCCTTCTCTTTCCTGGGGCTTTGCTGGTATGTTACTTACAAATGCATAACAAATTACTCCAAAACTTAGTGGCTTAAAACAACAAACATTTATTACCTCACAGTTTCTGTGGGTCAGGAATTCAGGAGCAGCTTAGCTGAGTGGTTCTGGCTCAGAGTCTCATGATGCTACTGTTAATATGTTGGATGGTGCTACATTTATCTGAAGGTTGATAGGCTTGAGAATCCACTTCCAGCCCCACTCACATGGCTGTTGGCAGAGGTTTCATGTCCTCACCATGTTGGCTTCTCCATAGGGCTGCTTGTATGTTCTCATGACATGGCAACTAACTTTCCCCAAAGCAAGACAGAAGCTACAATCTTTTATGGCTTAATGGCAGAAGCCATTATCTATCATTTTGTCATAGGCTATTTTTTTTTCAAGAGATGAGGTTTTGCTGTGTTGTCCAGGCTGGCCTTGAACTTCTGCACTGAAGCAATCTTCCACCTCAGCCTCTAGAACAGCTGGGACTTCAGGCTCGTGCTGCCATGCCCAGCAATTTTGTCATAGTCTATTTGTTAGAAGTCGGTCTCTGAGTACAGCCCTCACTTAAAGAAAGGGAAATTAGGCCCCACCAAAATAAGGAAAAGTATTATAAAATTTGTGGACAAATTTTAAAACTATCACGGCTGGCTCTGGCACTACGTTTCTTACTGAAGTGGTATCAGTAACAGGTTTTATTCAGGTATGTCTGGTTAGTCAAGAACTTAGTACTCATTCACTAACTGGTTCTTGGAACTGGGTAACTGTTGCTATTTTTCCCCCCCTTGAGATATATTTAACAGTTATTAAGGAACTGAATAGAGAGAGAAATTATGAACATGTGCATTAATTCATTCAGCAAACATTTACCAGATGTCATTATGTGCGGGGATACAAAACAAGCTATGGTTTTATATCTTTGAGGAATTTGCACTAGGGAAGGTAGACAAAAAAGAAAAAGAAGAAGAAAAGGACAGTGTGATAAATACTGTGATGGTGGTAAGTATAGGGTGATTTGGTTACTCAGAGAAGGGATACCTAAACAAGTTGGGGAGGTCAGGAAGTCAGGAAAATGTTCTAGAAGCAGTGACTGTTGGGTGAGGGTCCCCACCCCCACGGAACTCAGACACAAAGCTTTGTGGCCATGTGCAGGGAAGGCCCTCATTACTCTTTTTACCTTACAGAATGTTGCAGAGGCACAGTGCATCGCCAACCAAGTTCAGCTCTTCTATGCCACTGATCGGAAGGAGACCTACGGGTTAGTGGAGACCTTTAACCTCAGACCAAATGAGTTCAAATATATGTCTGTCATCGCTGAATTAGAGCAAAGCGGAATTGGAGCAGAACTGAAATGTGCCCAGAACCAAGATAAGACTTAGAGCTATAATGTTTGGGCTTTCACCAAGTCAGCTCAGCCCTGGATAGTCTAGAGCCCACCTACCCCTAAAGAACTCAAAGACCTCAGCATCTATAACAAGCAGTCTATAATGAGCTGCCTTGTGTGCTTATTGCAAAAAGTAATTGTGGAAATGAGCCCCATTACTTAATATTCAGGAATGAAGATACCCAAACATTCTGATAACTATCTTAGCATACTTGAGGTTTCCTTTTAAGTGTTTGAGGTTATAACAAGAGACAGCCAAGGATCTACAGGATAGTTGACTTGACTTTGTATAGTGCGACGGTGCAGTCGCATTCTGGCCATTTTGACCTCATAGCTCACAAATGTTCATTTTGTCATCTTTATGATCTTGTGACAGGATAATAAGCTTGAAGACTTGCTATGGTTAGATATGGGCTTTATATATGCTTCCCATGCTCCAGTCAGCTGGCCAAGGGCATAACCCAGATATCTTGTTTAGGTTCTAGAACAACCAGATATTCCCATCAGGATAAAGACTTCATCTACATGCGTTTAGTGTAGCTGGTTTGGGGTATCAGCGAATTTCAAGTATAGTTAGATAAACAGGTACAGTGCCTGCATATTATTAAACCATAGTTTGTGGCACCTGCTTCTCTAACTGCCTGTTAGAAGTTGTGGGTTTGATGGGGTGAATCAGTGCAGTGTAAGTAAACCAAAACACTTTTATAAAGAGAAGATCAGTCCAGATTTGCATGATTTTTTTAAAACACCTCTAAACGTTACATGAAAAAGTAGGTGGAAGCAGACGTTCCCAGATTGGGTGTGGGGAAAATGTAGCAATAAAAAAAAAAATAGTCTGGCTTACAATCTTTGTTACACAAAATAATAAAATTTAAGCTATGTGCTATCCATAGCATCACCTGTATGGCCCGATTTTATCAAAACTCATCTTGGGACTCAGCAGTTGCTAGGAATACCAGAAATAAGAACATTATTCTCCAGTACTGGAAACCCATCTTTTGTTGTAGTGCTGCTATTGTGGCTTCAAGCCCAGTGATAGAAGAGGATGGTGGTTACACACCAGGCTTCTGAATCCAAGGCCCCAGTGCCCCTCGGTGTTGTTGCTGACTGCCTTTACTATGCCTTGCCTTTACTGATCTGACATGTTCCACTTTGTCTGCTGCTCCTGCATAAGATCTGGTTGGATGACACTGAATATGGTGAATGGGAATTTAGGTAGTATTTGCAGTTTGTGTGTGTGGCTGGGGCCTGTCCTCAAGCTCTTTAAATAGAATTGGGCTTCCCATTATTTTCTGAGCTGTGTCTATTTTGTTCTACCGATGTGTGTGTAGAGAGAGACAGATAGTGTTTGTTTAACCTGAAGAAGCTGCTACCCTTTCACAATTTCTCTAGAGGTTGAGCTCTTCCCTATTGCAAATTCTGGACCTGCCTCTGGTCCTGACAGTTCTATTTTGAGAAACTGGAGTCTCATGAGCCCTGCTCTTTTCCTTAAATGCCCTCTGACCTGGATGTCTTGAGTCCTAGGAATCTTTGACGTCAGGTAGGGTTGCTTTCGTGGTTATCCAGTTATATTTGCTTTTCCCTCCAAATGGACCCAGTTCTTAGCCATAGTACATTTTCATAACACCTCCACCAAAGGGTAAGAAAGTGACGGAAAAACAAGTAAGAAATGGCTGCTCATGTTATCATTCTTCCTGGCTTTGCCCTCTATCCCCACTTGCCAAGGATATATCCATGGATAATTACATTGGATGTGACCAAAGTACCATCTGACTGCTCTTTTTATTTATTTATCGAGATGGATCCGGTGAATAACTAAAAGAAAAACGTAACATTTAATCAGTAAATTTGTCCCTTGGTGCTAGCATGGTGTTATAGAAAGTGGACAGACTTTAGAGGTAAGTGGATCTGGGTTCACATGTCAGTGTTGCTATTCATTAGCTCTATAATGTTGAACAAATTATTTAAACTCTCGAATTCTGTTTTTTTCATCTGTAAAATGGGGATACTAATATCTACCTCATAGGATTATCGTGAGAATAAATTAACTTATACATAGACTACCGTAGAACTTAATAGATGTCAACTCCCTTCCTTTTCTCTACTTCCCCTGCCCCTCATTAAAGACTAACACAGATTAACGTTTCAGGTGTGCAGATCATTCTTCATTCCAGGTAAAAGAACAAACCTTATCTTTAAGATGGGCGGTAGAATCACCTAGAGCACTTTAAAATGCAGATTCCCCAACTGAAAACCCCCTCACAACCTGCTGAATCAGATGTGTGCAGAAGGGGATGGGAATCTATACTTCAGTACGTGCTCCACGTGATTCCAACAGAGGTAATCAGCCAGCCGCACTCTGGGAACCGTTGCCTTATTTATTCTTTACAAAAACATACAGTATTCAGGTCTTTTCTTTCCTGTGGACACTAACCATAGGATTTAGGTTCCTCTGCTCTTTGTCTCCCATAGTGGTCCCCTTTGTATACTCTAGTTACATTATATTTATTTATTCCCTATTTTTCCCCTATTAGACTGTGAGCTCCTTGAGGGCCAGGACTTATCTCTATTCCCAGTGCCAAGAACATGGCCTGGACCATAGAAAATAATTGTTTGTTGAATAAATAAATGACATGGATTTTAGCCAAAACATTATCTTGTGTGTGCACGCCTATATTTAAAGACTCTCTATTTAAGGGAATCTCGTAACACACATAGATTGAGAAATTGCTGAGTAGGGATATTTACAAACCAAGATAACGAAGTTATACACAGAGTCTTTGTGTCTTGCCTGGTCCACCTCAATGGGCCGGTCTACTCAGTGCACTTTAACACTTGTTCACAGAGCACCTATTCTGCAGCCACTGTGTGAAGCACAGGACACAGGAAAATGAGTAGCATCTGATCCCTGCTCTCAAGCTCTGTTTCAGCCACTGCCTCTTTCCCTCTTGCCTCTGATTCTGTGCCTCACACCCATACCTGCTCATAGTTTACCTTGTCTTGTTCTCAGGATGTTCATACTGGTACTTCTTTCTTCTCCAACCAGTTTGAATGCTGGAACTACATGTTCTGTTTATTCATTCTCCACAATACTAACCTTCTGTTCAGTCTTAGAGAAGAGGTACTAATGCCCACTCCCCCAGTCATTTTATTTAACATTGATTCAGCATTCGTTCAGATTTATTGAGCACCTATGATATGCCAAGCACTGTTCCAGAAAACTGGGGAATACAGAAATCAACAGGACACATAAGGCCCCTGTTCTCATGTAGCTTATATTCTTGTGGAGAAAACAAATGAGTAAGACAATGAAATTTTACCTTAGAAAAAAGCTTATCGAATGAGGATATAAAGAAAGAAAATATTTTTGTACAGCTGAACAATGTGTTTTGAGCTGTGTTATAAGAGTCAAAAAGTTAAAAACAAAAAGTATATAAAGTAAAAAAGTTACAATAAGCTAAGGTTAATTTATTATTGAAGAAAGAAAAATATTTTCTATAAATTTAGTGTAGCCTAAGTATATAGTTTTTAAAGTCTACGGTAGTGTACAATAATATCCTAGGCCCTCACATTCACTCACTACTCACTGACTCACCCAGAGGAACTTCCAGTTTTTCCTGCAAGCTCCATTCATGGTAAGTGCCCTATATAGGTATACCATTTTTATCTTTTATAGCATATTTTGGCTGTACTTTGTTTAAATACGTTTTGATACACAAATACTTACTATCGTGTTATGATTGCCTACAGTATTTGGCACAGGAACATGCTCCTAGGTTTGTAGCCTAGGAGTAATAGGCTATACCATATAGTCTAGGAGTGTAGTAGGCTATACCAGCAGTCTCCAACCTTTTTGGTACCAGGGACTGGTGTCATGGAAGACAATTTTTCCAAGGTGGGAGATGGGGGTGCAGAGCTCAGGCTGTGATGTGAGTGATGGGGAGTGGCTATAAATACAGATTACAGATGAAGCTTCACTCGCTCCCCTCCTGCTGTGCAGCCCACCCCTCCACCCCTCGAGTTCCTAAATTTCATAGAGGACAATTTTTCCACGGACCAGGGGAGGAGGGTGGTGTGGGCAGTGGAACTCAGTGGCCTGGTCCCTAACAGGTGCGGACTGGTAGTGGTCTGCGGCCCTAGGGGTTGGGGACCACAGGGCTATACCATCTAGATTTGTATAAGTATACCCTATGATGTTTGCACAACAATGAAATCACCCAATGATGCATTTTTCAGTATATTCCCCATTGTTAAGCAACACATAACTATATGCACATTAACAAGAACCACAAACATTTAATGCAGGCTTACCATGTGCCAAGCCCTGTGCTAAGTAAGCCCTTTACATGGATTATCTCAAGCCTACCAACAACCCTATAAGGTTGGCAGGAACCTGCTTGTGGATGACATGTGCTACTGCTCTCCTTATACCCTCCTGCCCTCTCCCAGCTCCAGCTCAGAAAAGAGGGCAACCTTCCAGTGATCTCTGACCCCCAGCTCCAGCAGTGAACTCAGGTCTTAAGAAGTCATGAGTCAACTGTGGAATCAGCCCTGAGAAACATGTCTACCAATTTTCCTGCTGGTAACTAAAGAACAAAATGCAAGTATTATATATTTCTGATTCCTCTAGACCATTTTGAAAGACATCATGTTCTAACTAGGGAGGGTTTAATTCTGAATAGAGCACTTTGGTCTTGTCAACTCTCCTAATGTGGCATGTTGGTGGCAGCACCTTTATCCCTGTTCTGCTAAAGGAGAGACTTGGGTCACAGAAAGGGAAGGGATGACTTGAAGGTTGCTGCCTGCATCAGGAGCCAAGCCAGGACTAGGAGGCGACTGTCCACACTCCAGATTTAATGGGATCATTTGTAATGTCCACTGAGCAGGCTCATTCCTCACACTCACTTGAACAGGGCTACTTCTGAGCTCTTCAGGCCTTAGGAACTGGAATATCTACAAGAAAAATTGGTTCAAATCGCTTATGAATCATCCCAGGTTCCCCAGAATGTTCAAAACAAAGTCCCTTTGGGTCAGCTCACAAGAGCTCCAGGCTCATCTTGTGCTAGGCCCCCATCCACTCCTTTAGCTCCAGCCATTCTGGATGGCTGGCAGTTCCCCAAACACTGTGCTCTCCCTACCTCTGTTCTGCTCTTTTCAAATACATTTGCCTAATTCAAATGTCCATTCCCTCTTCATCAGGTTAATCCTTATTTGTCTTTCAAAGCTCCACTGAAGCATCTCTACCAGAAGTCTTCTCTGAGACCTGCTTGGCTCTACTCTGCCCTCCACCTGGGTCATGTGCTCCTCTGTGCTTCTGCAGCATTTTGCACTCAAGCCTTTGCAAGGCTGTCCCCCCACTAAACTGGAAACCCCTTGGAGGCAGGGATCATATCTTCCTGGGCATTGTATTGCCAATGTCCAGCATGAAACCTGGCAGAGGGAGGTAAGATACCCTATGGATGCTGAATAAATTCCTCTTGGGTGACCACTAAACCCAGACACCGGCGCCTACAAGCATCCTTTGTACGATGAGGTCCAGCCCTGGCAAACACATTGTGGTTATGTCCCAGTCCCAGGCAGCAGCCATTTTGCTTGCTCTTATTGCAGAGGCTACATGTGGAAAACCAAGCTAAGGGGCCATCAGAGGAAGCAGGCATGCCCAGGGTTTGTGAGCAGAAAGAACTGAGAGACAATGAATGGACTTTTGGAACAAAACA